GCCCAGAATTGCACGCAGTATTCCAACTGCGGTCTGACCAGTGCCCGATAGAGGGGAAGTATCACCTCCTTGGACCTATTCGTCATGCATCTGCTGATGCACGATAAAGTGCCATTGGCTTTTTTGATGGCTTCGTCACACTGCCGACTCATGTTCATCTTGGAGTCCACTAGGACTCCAAGATCCCTTTCCACTTCCGTGCCACCCAGCAGGTCATTCCCTAGGCTGTAGGTGTGCTGGACATTTTTCCTCCCTAGGTGCAGCACTTTGCATTTCTCCTTGTTGAACTGCATTCTGTTGTTTTCTGCCCACTTGTCCAACCTGTCCAGGTCTGCTTGCAGCTGTTCCCTGCCCTCTGGCGTGTCCACATCTCCCCATAGCTTTGTGTCATCTGCAAGCTTGGACCGAGTACATTTCACTCCCTCGTCCAAGTCACTGATGAAGACATTAAAGAGTATAGGTCCAAGGACTGAACCCTGTGGGACCCCACTTCCCACACCCTTCCAGGTCGAAGCCGACCCATCCACCACGACTCTCTGGGTGCGACCCTCCAGCCAATTCGCCACCCACCAGACTGTGTAGTCATCCAAGTCACAGCCTCTTAACTTGTTCACCAGTATGGGGTGGGATACCGTATCGAAGGCCTTCCTGAAGTCTAAGTATACGACATCCACCCCTCCTCCTGTGTCCAGGCCTTTCGTAACCTGGTCATAAAAAGAGACTAGATTGGTCAGGCACGATCTGCCTGCCACGAACCCGTGCTGGTTTCCCCTCAGCATAATTTGTCCTGCCGGGCTCTTGCAAATGTGAGCCTTGATAATTTTTTCAAAGACTTTGCCAAGGATGGAGGTGAGACTGACTGGCCTATAGTTGCCCGGGTCCTCCTTCCTCCCCTTCTTGAAAATGGGGACCACATTGGCCCTTTTCCAGTCCTTTACCTACTTACTCAAGAAAATGCAGCTGTGATTATGCCAGATTTTGAAACCCTTAATCTTAGTGATATTTTACAAGTAGTCCTATTTATTTCATTGGGTTTGCTCATGGGAGTAAGCTGATGCTCAGCATGAGTAGGGGTGTCAACCTTGTCCATAACTGGCATCCAATACAGACTAGTTTTTGGCCCCAATTTCCAGCTGGGTAAAGCAAAAATCAGTAGTTTGCTAATATCCTACTTCAAGTTTAAGCTCCAGATGCTTCTGGATTCTAAATCCTTGTTCTAATCTCCTGAGTTGTTTTGTGGTCATTATTTGTTTCTCTGTGTCATAATCCCAGATCTTTATGCATCTGTCACAGAATGGAGTCAGTCACAACTGGGACTAAAAAAATGACTAATCCCATTGTGGAAAGTTAATGGAAACTCCACATAAGAAAATATCATGTGAATGTTGAGGTCACTACAAATGTGTCATTTGAAACCAATCTATATAATATTGGTTTTCCTTGTTTGTATAAATTCAGTGGTAGAAAAATATTGCTGACTGATAGCCGGGGATACTATAGATCTCCTTTCATCCACACAACGGGGTCAGCATGGATAGTATCAGAGCAAGAAATAACCTAAAAATGCCTTAAGTATAACTATTGGCACCATTTATATGCAAGGGTTATTATTATTTCCTGCCCAGACCCAGTCAATGCTTGGCCTTTCTGTCAGTCAGCACTAATTAAAAAGTGGCATCAGCTGTGCTCATCATTTCTGTGTGTGAACAACTGTCCTCCGGGAAGAGAGATGAGACCACTGAACACACAGACCAGTGAAACAAGCCAAATGTTTGTCACTCCGTAGTTGGTCACGATTCAAACTGTCAATCTATTATAGAGGCTCAGTGCTCTGTATCAGCCCTCTGGGACCCAACCATTCATTGATATAGGAGATAATTAAAATTATCCCTTTAATTTCATATAATGCTATTGGTAGAGAGTGGATTACAAAACTGGTTCTAATATTTTAAAAATTGACAATAATATGACTCTACATTAAAAAAATAAACAAACACATTATACTGGTACATTTTACAGCAAACGCTGGGCCAGATCCTTAGCTGCTGCAAAGCAGCATAGATCCAAGACTTGTCATATTGCATTTAGATAAACCAGATTAATAGTCTAAATACCATGGGCCAAATTTTGCCCTCATGTGCACTCATACAAATCTATTGAAGTCATGCAATTGTACAAGCATACCTAAAAGCAAGATTCTATCCATTGCCTTTTTCTAAATTAAATTTTTAAACTAGTTTGCTACTGAATTAATATAGATTTTTAGAGCAGAGGTTTATGTATAATTGCATAGCCTTACATATTGCTTTGTGCTCATATGCTTATATAATTATATTTCAGATATAGATTATTTAAATACTAGAGGGGGAATAAGAGGCAAATTAAAGATGACTTGGCAAATGTCACTTGCAGCATCATTCTGTATTTAAGTAAATAAATATACAATAATGGTCATTAATATCCATAATGGAAATTCCCCATTATCTGTGCCTTAACATAGACATATACTATACATAACAATAGCAGTATTTTCCTCCAATAGTGGATATAGTGCATAGAATTAGCCCAAACAGAAGAGGAACTGAACCAAAACTCAAGCTCAGTGTTATTGGAGAGCTGAAAATTTGAACCCATATCATGACATGAATTTGAAAACAGTCCCTTTGTTTACAGTAGCTAAATCAAAATCTTGGATATGAACAGCTGCAATTTACTGTGTTCACATTGTGCAGAGTGAACCTGTTACCATCATTAAAGGAAACAGTTACAGTAAACTAGATAGAGAAGAGGGTTTCTGAAACAAACAAGTAGAACACCGCCTCGCCTATTTTGCTCATCTCTATCAATCTTCTCATACTGAAAATTTCCTTCTAATCTATATCCATGCCCTAAATCTTAATCTCTCAGTAGCAGATGATCACTTAAATATTTTTTTCTCAAACAGCTGTTCTTTTGTTCACAACTGGATTTCTAAATATTATGCCTGTCTTAAATTTAGAATATTGCTGGTTTATTAAATACTAGCTTAATTTTTAATTACATTTATTAGAAATAACTTTTAAGCAAGGCTATTCATATGCTGCTGAATTACTGAAAATCTATGAAGTGATACAGTATGTTTAAAAAGCAGATACCACCTTTATCTTCAACAAAACTAAATTAGTGGGCAATATTGTCCGTTTCTCCTGAATAGTTAGGACCCTGAGCTGCATCTGACTTCAGTGGGAGCTATGAGGAGCCAAAGACTGCAATACTGGGTCTTGTAACAAGGTCTATGAAATGAGAAATGTTGGCTAGAATGCTAGTCACTGAAGCAGCATACTGCAGCAGAATCGCAGCACATTTTTCTAACATTTGTGTAATATTGAAGCACTTTAAACTTAGCCTTGACTTCAGAAAGGGTCTGATTAAAACCAATTCACATAATTGGAGGGGCCCTTATTTACTTCACTGGGTTTGGAATCCTGCCCTAAAATTCTTTGCATGTACTTTCCCCCACCACACACAAATACCTCCATTCAGAATTATTGCAGTGTTGGAATTATTATAAAAAAAATCAACTTGTAGAAGAAATTCTTGTTAGCTTAGAGCCAGATCCTGCCAGTCAATGGCAGAATTCATTCATTGAACAAGGTTTTATTCAACATGATTAGGGGCTTACAAAATGTGTTAAGTATGCCTGTGACCCTATGAGGAATCTAAACAGATAACATGGACAGTGTAAACGAAAGAGAGTAAATGCAAAACTTACCCGCTCATCATCAGAAAGCCTCTTAGAGATACGAACAGCACTTCTTTGAGACCTTCTTGGATGGCTTTTATGTCTGAATAAGTAGTGATTTTTGAGTGATCCAATCTATAATACAGATGAGTATTTTAAATATTGAAATATATCTCAACACAAATAAACATCAGAAAGGATACATGATGGCTGAAAATTTGAATGCACTTATTCCTTCAGAATTTTAATTCAGGATCAAATATTCTCTGAGGAGAGAGGATGTTCACTGGAAAAAAAATGTGTACTAATAGGAGGAATGTTGGGAAAACAAGGGTGCAATCTAATTCCACTCAACTTCAAATCGTTGCCCTTGATTTACACCAACATCCACAAAAAGCAAACCTGATTCTTTAATTGCACAGTTTAAGACTTTAACACATTTTGAGACTAGACTTAATTTCTGGCCATAGCACTCAGTATTGTTTCCTTTCTCTGTAGTGCAGAGGGACTGAATAATCGGATCTATTTTCTTCCCGTATGCAAATATGTAGCTAGCCGCATTCATCGCTTTGCGCAGGCAGACTAAACTGATAGGGTTTCACTGGCCTGTTTCAGCTCCGCTTACAGCTCTTGGGTGTATATTTTCATATATAGGAACTTACTGCTTCGATTCAGACCCTAGAGAGAAGACAAAAAACAGCAGATTCTCCCTATGCCAGAGGAAGGGTGCCTATGCCCAAAAGCTTGTAAAGAACAATTTTTCCAACTATTCAGTTGGACTAATAAAAGATAATACATTTACCCAAATAACCTTGACTGAGAGAAAGAAACGAATTTGAACACCTAGGCTAATTGTTTCCATTTAGATGGTGCATTCCTTCCCTACGCACTTGCTCCTGCTGACAGAAAAATCTGTGGAAATGATGCCATTGAGGCTGAGGGTAGCAAGATCAGGTCATAAGCAAAGATCTATCTAGCTATATAATGCGTGCGCGCGCGTGTGTAGGTATATATGTATGTATATATAAGTATGTTGGTATGTGTGTAGGTATGTGTGTGTGTGTGTGTGTGTGTGTGCATACACACAATAAATTAAATGTATGTGTGCCTGTGTGTCTGTTTTATATACCAGTGGCTCTTAATCTTGTTAGACTCAAGGCACCCTTGGAAAATGCCAGTTCTTAGCTTTCTTTTTTTTTTTTCTGGCTATGGAAAAATACTAGAGCACGTCTTTCCCAGCAAAGGCCTCGGAAAAGCCACGACAGGTCAAAAGGGCTTTGACCCCATGGATTCCTCTTGGGCATCTTGGGGTTTGCTTCGTGAAGGAAGCGTGGGTGCTTGCCCGCCCAGTGGGGCGAACATTGTGTGGTGCCTCCAGGCCCCCTGAGGCAGCCTGCGGACAGCCCCCGCTGCACCCACCCCACACAGTTGGGTGTGGGGACTCTCCGCTCTGGGCGCAGGCAAGCGGGGACACCAGGCCTGTCATAGACAGGTCGCCCTCCGTGGTGCAGGGAGCCCCCGCCCGGGGCCGCTGCCAGGCTCCCTGGGGAAGGACCCGCCGCGGGGCTATGACGTCAGGGCACTTACT